GCCAGCTTGGTTATTGAGTTCCAGAAGTAAATCTATAGTTGACTTAATGAAAAGTGTTGTGTATCTTCTTTAAGTCGTTGTAGTGGAGTTTTGGGAAAGAGGACTCCTTGCAAATGAACATGGAAAAAAGAGGCAGGAAGACTACATTTAAGAATTTAGCAATATTTTAATCTTTTCTTTCCTTCTTAAAACATATCTGTCTTACAGTTGTAATTCCTTTCTTTCCAAATTGTATTCTTGAAGGAAATAAGTTATCTAATAGATGAACAACTTTCATATCAAACAAGTGATGAACGAATCTTATCTTTCCCATGCTACCCATAAGACATCTGGAGGAATCTGGATAGGAAGAAGACTTAGGCCATGATCTGCATTCTTGTGAAAAACTGCTTTGCCATCTTGTTTGGGTCATGTAGTACAGAAATGAAAATGGGGAGCATATGGTGACTGAGAATCTGAATAACTTTCTCATAGTTGCATTACAATTGAATAAACATTACCTGTCTTTAAAAGAGACACTACCAAAGCTAACCATTTTTTAAAAAGCTATATAGCTAGTTTAATTGTAAAAGAAAATGCTTTTTTCTAGATGTTGCATGTCAACAACCATGTCATTCGAGAAGTCATTGCATTCTCAGAATGTAATAAGAGTATTTTATAATTGATTAAAGTACTATAGAGTTTAAGTTTAAATTAATGACCCTATAAAACAAAGACAGGCAAATGTTTTTGATTGGGGGTGCACTTTTTCATTTTGGGTTTGAGTTAATGACCAGCCTTATTTTTGCACTTTTGTAGGCTTCAGAGGGAAATTTAAGGCCCAATAATTCCACTAAGATGACTTATGAAAGAGAGTTAAAAGTATTTCCTATTTATAGTGACCAATTTTATTCTAACCAAAAAGTGTCTGCTAATAATTGAATAATTTTAGAATGGATAAGATCATAATTTGTATAGTCAAATTTGTTGAGTTGGAATCTCTTTTTTTAACCCTGATTTTTGCTGGTGATAACCTGAATATTTCTATGCTTTTCTGTGAGTTAAAAAAGAACGAAAGAAGAAAAGGTTAGTTGGTACTCATGCCATAGCAAATTCTCTATATACTATAGAAGCACTAGTTTTTCTTTTTTTGCTTTATCCTACTATGACTTGTGAAAGCAGAGGTATCTGATCAATATTTGAACTATAGAGAACATCATTGGTATTTTTATATATGTTTAATTATTGTTTGCTAAAATAACAGAATGGTAGACATAGCCATTTTTTGTCACCTTAAACCTATCTTTACTGGCCTGCTTGTTTTTAACAAAACAGTATTGATGAAATCCCTCTAGGCCATAGTATCATAGGATTTTTACTGGACTGAAAGGTCACCAAAAGGCTTGTTTGTACAAAGCTGCAAGTGGAGTCTGCCTTATTATTTTGCTCTGATGAAAAGTCATAGCAATCTTCTTTCTGTGATATTGTTTTCCAAACCAGAAGGCTTGTTCTGCTCTCACCATCAGTATCTATGGGGAGAAGATCTGTACTATACTGTACTGTACTGAGCAAACTGTTTTCCTTCTTTCAAGGGTTTTTGGGCTTCAAAAATTTACTTAGCTATACATTTCAGTGTTCTTAATTGGCCAACAAATGTGCCCAGTTTCCTTCAAATGATAATTCTTTTTCAAATTATCAAATGATAATTATTCCATCCCAGCCACTGATGCAGCAGTAAAATAGTATATATGAAAAGATAAGGGATTTCTGCCAGCAACCTCAGAAATCTAATTCAGAAATGTGATGACCATAAAAAATTGAAATAACTCAGATTTGGATTTGATATAAAAAAGTGTCCAAAACTTCCATTGTGGGGTTTGAGGACATAGACTCTTTAAAAAAGAAAACCCAAAGAATTATCATGCTCTTGGCAGAGTTCTAGATCTTTAGACCAAATTTTGTACTTTATGCTACTCTAGAACTGGTTATTGATAAGAAAAATTGGATTCCCTAATTATTGACTGTTATATGAATGATGAGATGTTGATTTGAAGGCTGTAAAAAAATATTCTAAAATTAAATAAGAAATCAGCCTTCAGTTTATAACATTAAGTAGTATGAAATCAGTACCAATATGGACTTTTGAGCAAATGTGAATTGTTTATTTTTAAGATGCATCAATTTCCATACTGCAAATGGTTTTTAAATAATATTTTTATGGAAAATATTGGGGTTATTTTGGTAATATTCAAGAGTGATTTCAAAGTAAGGTTAGCAAAGCCAGTGTCCTTTAAAAGACTCCACCATGGTTGGGAACTTGGGATACTTCATCTCCAGGCACTCAAACCCATAGGATTGTTGTGCCTTCTGGAGCACATCTGGGTAATCTGCTCTCCTGCCCTTATCCAGAGAGGCTCTATAGGACCAATTTATTTGCGGGTTATTTGGTCTTCACTGCTACTACTGTCTCCACTCATTTGGAGATGTGATAGTTCACATCATCTCCCCCAAAAGCCTCCATGGTGCATGTTTGCACACAATTGTGCTTTCAGTGGTTTTTCACCCGCCTTTTGCAGTACTACATTCTGATATATAAACGAACATATAACATTGTAATTATGCAGTGTTATTTGCCATTACACATTATTTCCTTGTATATGTTCATTTTGATGAAGTCCTTTGTATTTTCGTTTATTCTGTTTGGTCTTGGTTATTGATTTGGGATATGTTTTCCAAATTTGTTACTTACTAGTGAACTGATCTTATTTGCATCTTTTAGAGTAAAATGCAGATTGGAAAGGATGGGCTTTGCAGCACACTAAGTGTTACAATTTAAGTGTATTTGGGAAAACAAAGAGTCAATGTGTGACCCAGTTATCATAAAGAACAAGTGTTACAGATGATAACAGTAATGCCCTTTAACATTCTGAAGCACCTTTCTGAAGCCCTGGAAAACCCATTATATGTACAGCAATATGTGCCAGGTTGACAAATACAGACTGGGACAGGGGTGTCAAACTCATGGTGTCACGGCATTGTCACATGACGTATTGGGACCTCCCCCTCCCCCCCAGCTGTATCTCCTCTCCTTAGCGAAACAAATTGTGAAGGGAAAAAATTAAGTATATAGATTACTTAGTTCTTAAAATCAGAACTCTCATAATCATAGGGTAAGAATGAGTGTATAATTCCCAAGAAATGGGGGACTATGGGTAGGTGTCATCCATCTTAAAGCAATTACACACACACACAAAGACGCACTGCAATTCTCTATTCTTACAGTACTAAGAACTTCATTAGGGTATGTCAATAAAAGCTGACCTGCTTTATTATGCATCTTTTTGGGGAACTGTGCACTGTTATAAATTAAAACATTTAACTGTTTGGGTTGTTGTACTGGTGGTTCCATGTTTGTTCCAGCTGGCAAAAAGCTGCTCAGAATTTCCCAGGACAGTATACAAAAGGCTATGTATGGGTTCCAGGTTTATGTTTGAAACATTGAGATGAAATGACTAAACTGTTCCAGAAGCAAATTGAACCAAGATAGGCTGAATCAAAATAGTTTAATCTTGGTAGTTTGCACTGGAACTATGGAACCTGGTTTTCATTTGCTATACTGTTTTTAAAGACCTAATGCAGTTGGCTGTCTCCTTAAGCAGGGTGGTACTTTATGCTCATAGAGACAAGCATTTGACAGGGTAGAGATTTCATGGGCCACAAATCTTGTTTATAGGATAGCCCCCACTGCTTTTGTTACTCCCTTTCCGATATTTTAACTCTAATGTATATTAAAAAGAAAACGCCATTCCCAAGTAACTCCTTATCTGTTTAATCTTTCCATCACAGCATAAACTGCAGCAGAGGGTTTAATTGGGTACTTCCTCTCTGCTGCTGTCTTGAGGTCTGAATGGTGCCAAGGGCAGAGACTACTGACTGAAATGCATTGTAAGACCAGTGGTGTGCCAAAGCCATGTCTCGCAATTTTCACTGAAATGGGACAAGATGCAAAGTCTTTTGCCTCTGCTGGCTTAGACAGTATCTAAGAGGTCAAAGAAAGATTCACAAATTACAGGCAAGTGAGATCTATTATGATAGAATTAGTGAGGTACCTCCTGGAAGATAAAATTGTGGCAGCCAAATCACGAGGTCACTATCCAAAGGCAGGAGAATGAATTCAGGGAGCAAAGACCCAGAGGATTTCTGGGAAAGGAAGTTTGGAAATTCTTGCTTCCCACCCTGTAGACTAAGCTACGCTTTTATACAGAATTCCTATTTTTGATCTTTGCTGCTCTGCTTTTCTTCAGTGAAATGTAGCGTTTTTCCATGACATGTCTTTTGAGACTTTTTAAAGAAATAACAGATAGTTGAAACCCTGAGAGGCAGTTCATAACTTTAGTCTTGCCACTGCTACTGTATTCGGTTGACTGAGGCTGCTGGTCTTCTAGCATGTAGCAATGGGATTTCCAAAAATTGAAGCTAACATCCCATCTCCCTCTTGCTTTTCTTGCAGCGAGTATCTGAATTTTGGAATTCATTGGCATTTCAGCAGAAGTATCTTGGATACTTCTCACAAACAGAAATGCAGGTTTTCAGTTAATAGGCCTTTTCTGGCCTCAAGATAGGAGCAATTATGAACAAACCAAAACTGTAGTACTGCACATTATTGTGTAAAATGTTCAGGAAATGTTGAGAGAGGTATGTGGCATGGCTGTTTTGGTATAGAGAATTCAGTCTCTAGGCTACATAGATGAAACACCAAATCCATAGAGTTTATGTGAATTATAGCCATCTTGAATGCTCGCCAGAGCATAAAGGTCAGGTTTTAAAATAAATAAATTTAATCCAACAAGGATTCTAAATTGAGTTCAGTCTTTCCTGTCTCCAATTCCAGCCTTTTGAGAATGATTCAGTCTATAGAAATGTGTTCAGCAGTGGGACTCAGAGAAGCTGGATTTTCTTCCAATTCCCGTCGTGGAGCATGAAATGTTTCTTTGCTTAGACAATGCTGCTCTTTGTTCTAGGTATCTAAACCATGTCCGAGCTGCTTCCCCACAGGATCTTGCTGGTGGCTACACTTCCTCTCTTGCCTGTCATCGAGCCCTTCAAGAAGCCTTCAGTGGGCTGTTTTGGCATCCTGGCTAACTGGGGGGTAACAGACACCAAAGCAGAGCAAGCAAAACTCAGGTGAAAATCGTTGCCGTCTGCACTATGGCTAAACTGCAATCATCGATCCTTTTTTTAAAAAAACAACAAAAGACATCGTGAAGCCAGCTATACTTAAGTATTAAAAATTCACTAAATAGAAACTTTATTTAGAAAAAGTGGTGGCGTGTATGCATTTTTAAAAACCTTTTCGGTGTTTGGGGATGGGAATGGGAGATGCTTTATGTCACTCTCCTGGGATGTTAATGGAAGATGTGAGCAATTGTTTCATGTATTTAAGGTTTCTGAAACAGACTAGTAAAATTTTTAAAAAATAAACCCGGATGTTCTTGTTGTTATTTTCTGTAGTTTCTATGTCTTCTTTTCAGGTTTTTATTTGCAAAAACCATTGAAATGCTGTTTTTATTAAACCTGTATAGTGCAATTCTTCTAAAAGCCTAAAGCCTTTTCTTCTCTTAAACCAGTGTCTAATGCATATGAATTATATTTTACTTCCCTGAATCATGATACAAGAATCGGAGATACATTTTCTTCCATAATACCTTGAGTTCTGAGCAATGAAATCGGAACCACATTGGAGATTGCAACAACTGTCATTCTGTAAATACGCAATTATGTATCTGGCTCTTAAAAATACCAAAAACACATACAGAAGGAAGTCATAACTTATCTGAAACTTTGTGTACAGTTTTTTTTTTAACAAGCTGAAGCAGAATGGGCCTTTTAGAATATAATAGTGCAAAAATGAGAAGGCTGCAAAACACAAGTGGCTACTGTATCCGTTTTTCTTCAGTATGGAGAAGGCTGACATTTTTCTACCTGTTTGATTTTGGATAGTTTCAAGAGACAAAATAAATAGGGATATACACAATCCAGATTCTAAAATGATTTTGAACATTGTGATACTCATGGAGAAACTGCATCTTTTTTTTTTAGATTCTTTGATTCCAGGAAAAGATGTGTTTGATTTAAGCGGATGTTGATAGATACTAACATGCACTCCAAATCACCTCTTAGCTTTTAAATCTGAATTGCTACATGGCCCTAAAGCATTTAATCTAAACCTTGAAAGTTTAAGGGTCCCAATATAATTCTTAATTCTGGAAGACTATCAAGATTCATCTGATTTTTTTTTCCCATTGAGGATGTTAGTTACTATTTCCAGAGACGATTACTGGATAGTTATTTTATTGCAATAAAACCAATAGCTGGATCAATGTTTATTGGATAAGAAATAACTGCATTAAGACATTTCCCCCCTCCCTTCAATGAAAACTCATATGATATTGGAAGAATATCACTTCCAAATATCACTTCCAAATAAGCAGCTTTCTGGACTAGAGTCCACTCCATATGATATATGAAATGTTGATTATCAATTGGCAAAAAACCAAGAATGTTATACCGTTTTAAAGACTATGTATTTAATTTGGAAAAATATTTCATGTATTTGAAGCACATCAGCTTAAATGCGCAAATTGGAATTTAGTATTGTGCAGTATCAGGAACAGAAGTACATTTAGAATTCCACAAACCAAGAGTAATAATATGTCATCAGCGGGCATCAAAACTCACTAATTCTGTATTTTCTTACAAAATTAAATACACATCAGCTGTTCTTGAAAACAACAGAGCAACTGCTTTATTAATTTAGGAAATGGTGGGTTGTCTTTTAAACTGTAATATAAGATGCACTTGAGTATAGTTAAGCAAAATGCAAGATGGCCTCTCTAGATGTAACATACACTTAGTTTACAAACTAATATTTTTATTTCATATCCTGAATTCTCCCTTCCTTTGAAACAGGAGCATATAAATATCATATATGTGTATAAATACAGTTGCTTTTATAAACAAGGAAGTGAAAAACTCAGATTATGAATAAAGATGCTCCTCAGTTAATAACCATTCTTTCATCAACTGTTCCAAGTTACAATGGCGCTGAACAAGGAGTCTTACACAGTCCTCAAAGTTGCAGTCATTCTAGTGTCCCATGGTCATATGATCATGATTCAGGTTTTTGGAAACTGGCTCACAATTATGACACTTGCAGCATCCCACTGTCATGGGACCACCATTTTCAACCTTCACTATACTTCAAATACTTTATTGCTTTATATGTCATCTCCTTTATAAGCGCCTCAGGAGCTGCTCAGGATCTGTGGCTGGACAGAGAATTCACAGGAGCAATGAAAGTACTGCAGAGAAATACTTCATCTTATTCATTTAATTGTATACTTTTCTCATTGGTGGACGAATAATGACGTAAGCTTGAACACAAAATACTACAAATTATGGAAAAATAGAAAATTTAATGTTCTTTAGATAAGAGAATTGACCCTTATCATATATAACAGAACTGAAACATAATCAATATACAATCAGCTCATGAGTGTGCAATTATCAACTCTGAGACAGATTAGATAACTGCTGCTATACAGAGAGCAGCTCCTTTCCTCACCTTCAAAAATGGAATTAAAATTCTATTCCGTCATGATCCACGTATCTCCTAGATGGTTTGATTATTTTCTTCTGTGTAATTTTCATTTGGGCATAGTCGTTTAGATGGAGGTTCTTCTGGATCATCTGCACAAAAAAGTTTAAGATAATTATATCTGAATGGCAGATATATCCATCCATCCATTCAAACCTAATAGCAGCTTATGTTTCTCAGACAGTCTCTAAGCACTATTAATTGTGTGGTTTTGGCTAAATAATTTTCATAGCACATATGCATCGATAGTGGTGATGATCAAAGCAATCTGGTTTCATGCACATGAGAGGCAAATCAAATCTTTCTTATGGTTGTAGATCAGCAAAGGTGATGAGAGGCAGAAAGCTGAGGTAGATAGCAAAGAGTTGCCAGAAGTGGAATAGCATTAGCAGAAGTAGTTGAAAAAAAGAGTTATAAAAGAAAATCTGATGCCAAAATTGGCAAACATCATTAAAATCTTTCATTCAAACTCATAATGCATAAGAATTAGTAATATACAATAAAGACCGCTTTGAATAGATATGGAGAAAATAAGTGAATTATAAGAAAGGGAGCTTGAAAAAGAATGGAGAGGGCCACATAGGAACTGGATTATTTTGGTACCCCACCCCCCCAATGAATCTTTTGAAACACCAATCCTGACATTCAAAAATCTTTTACAATGGCAGTCAGTAACTGACCATTTCACTAAAACATGATTTGGCCTATCCCTTATCACTCAGAAATAAACCAAATTAACAATTTATAGTGATTGGTTTTACAAATCACACAAAACCAAGCCGACTAACTAGATTATAAATTAGTGCAGTATATATGTCAGGTCAATTTGAGACAAGAGACCCATAGTGCTATTTAGCTTTCAACCCAAGAAATATCTTCAATCAGTCAGGAAGCAAAATTTACGAAGCCTCCATTCACCCACATAATATTTTAAATGTTGAATTTACCTGTCAGAGAAGACAGCGGCTCGTATAACACCTCAGCTGGAAGTTGAAAGCTAATGCACATCATTTCTTTATTGGGTGCCACATTTCTCACCCATTTAACAGAACAAAGACCATGTAAGGAAGTTCCCAGTAAAGCTTCAACTCTTTCTTGAACGTCTTGCGTAGGGTTATCATGTTTGGAAAAACAGTGGCAGTGCACTGTAGGAAGTTCATTACTGACTGGCTCTCCATTCAAGAGATGCCTGAAGACATCCAGGAACTCAATTGCCATGGCTGGCAAATTCATGATGATGTGTACAGAATTTTTCCATTCTTTTGAAGAGAGATGCTTGTCCAGTTCTTCTTTCACTGGCCCTTTCAAGAAATTCCTGCCATCCAGATTGAAGACTTTGACTTTTTTGTCCACTTTATTTAATTTACAGTTGTGCTGGAGCCACTTGCATGATTCAGGGTTGAGGTCGTTTGCAAACACAATGCAGTTCTTCTTTGCTGCAGGAATTGCAAAAGGCCCCACCCCTGCAAAGACATCGAAGAGAAGGTCTCCTGGCTTTAAAAGGTTGACAATCCGCAAATGTTCAGTAGAGAGGCGAGGATTCCAATAGACTTTGGAAAAATCAAATTCATATGAGATATAGTTTTCCTTAACCTAGAAGAGTTCAAGTGAATAGGCTGACTGTTAGCTGCCAAAGGTCAGGAAGAGTGAAATGCAATGAAAGATTACATTTTATACCAAAAATTAAAGTTTCCCTTTGCTAGCTATGGAAGAATTGAGAACCATGTCCTTGCAAACGATCAGATTGGGAATAAGGAGACCCAAATTAAGATTCAACCTCGACTATGGAAGTTTACTGCATGACTTTGGCCCAATCATGTTTCAGCCATCCTAATATAGGAGGTGTTATATAACTATGTACGTTCTAGAGGAACAATTGTGTTTATATTGAATGAATAAATATGTTGTCATGTCTATATAGAAGTCATGCTAATTAAAAGACACAAGTCACACAACCCCATAGCTCTATATCACCCTTAAGCATTTATGGTGTAAGAAGGGACAGATCCTTAGAATTACATAGCTACAATTAAAGTTTATAACACTGGTATTTTATATCAATATGAGATCTAGGTTTCATTAGTTGAAAAAAACAATTTAAAACTCTAAAGCATCAATGATTTTCCCATTCAGAGTTTCAAGATGGCTTTTTAAAATTTTGCCTTACTTAAAGGAAAAAGTACAAATCAAATAAATATGTCACTCTCTGAAGTCATGCTTCTGAAAATTAAGAATTACAGTTTGGTTTACAGTTTCTTCTGTAATATATATTTTAAATAAATTCTTATTTTTTAAGAGAACATACATTTATGTATGTTATCCTTCATGAGCAGTAACAATATATACTTAAGTTTATTTTGTATCAGGGAGTTAGAAATATCAATAGTATATCCTGAAGGCAAAAGCTGAGATAAATGAGAGTAATATACTAAAACAATACAGTACAGACACCTTTTCAGGAATCTTAAATACAAGATCAGCCTTATATACACGAGTCCTAAATCTTATTGAAGCAATCCACTTTGCTCATTTGCTTTACAGGTAGTTCTTGGGTTACAATGGCAATTGGGACTGTAATTTCTGTCACTAAGTGATGTGGTTATCAAATGCAACAATCTGTGACCACCTTGCTTATCAACGACAATCTAGGCAGTCATAGTTATTGTCATAGCTGAGATGTAGGAGGACTGACAGAAATTGGGGGCAGAGGTAAAAGAGAGATTAGCCAAGAATCCCTACGTAGCCATAAGTGAATTAAGTCCAATCTTCCTTGAATTCTGTTGATCCTTATCTAACTCCAAGCAGGAGCTGTTAGTTGAGAATATTCCTGTGCATAGGCATGAGTAACAATAAATCAGTGTAACTGGACCTTCACATGTGCACTTGATCTTTTGCACCCAGCATCCAAGACTGTGTGGGTCATTAAAAGGCCCTCACATGACCAGAGTCCAAGGCAAACAGGAAAGCGGGCAAGGCTGTAGGGCAGATAGGTACTACAGGTGGGACAGCAGGGGCTGGAGGTGGGTGCTCTTGAAGATGGGTAGGCAGGCAGGGGTCATTTACAAGTGCAAATTTACATTTGCAGGAGCCATTTACAGGTGGGCGAAGGGGTGCTATGAGATCACAGGGTTCTTGTACACTATAGCAGGGCTCCTTGGTAGCAACAAAGACTTACAAGAGTGACTTGAAACTTTCCCTGCCTGCTTCCCCATTGACTTTGCTTGTGGGAAGCTGGAAAGAATGGTTGCAAATGGTAATCATATAACTGCAAGGAAGTTGCAATACTCACAACTTCACAGATCATTCATAGGTCCCCCTGTTCAGCACCATTGTAATTTTGAACGGTTACTGAATAGTAACCTGAGAACTACCTGTATTCAAATCAAATGAATAAATACTAAATAAAGCAATTCTGAAAAAGAAAAAAAAGATCTAAACTGGATCTAAAACAAATGTTTCTGCAATAATTCAACTCTATACATGTGTGTGTGCAAGGACATTACATAAATTCAGCCACTGGTAAGCTAATATTCCTTTTACTAGAAACTTTTAATCAGAGCTGCAATTTTATTCAGCCTAGACGAGGATATCTGAAAACACAGATTGCAAACTATGGAATTGTGAGGCAGACAAGAAATCATAGTCTAATGTTCAATAATGTCTATTTCTTGCTCTGCTTGCATCTCCATGTTAAGAGCATTCTTTTTTGGCTAGAATAAAATACAATTGAAAGTCTCAGTACCTTTGTTATCATGTTGGCACCATCTCCAGCTAGTAGCTCCATTTCAAAGTTTCGATACATGCTGTCAATAATATTGATTTTATTTACAGCACAGGTTATTCCTTGATTTTTGTCAACGATAACGTGTCCTGAAAGAAAGTCATGCAAAAAACACCCCCCTGACCATTTAATAACTATGATAAAAGTGGTAAGCGAATTATAAAAAACCTCTTCCATGATATGAATGCTTCATTTCTAAACAAAGAAAGGTAATCTTATCTACAGTTCTTCCCCAGAGCATGAAGGATTGTATTATCCTTGCAAAGGGATGTGGCCTGACCATCTCTCTTTGTCTCTAAGGGAAGCTCCTTAAAACTATTTCTTATGGAACTGCCAAAAAGCTTAATTCTGAAATCTTTTAACATTATATTCTTCCCTATACAGAAAAAACTTACAATTTAACATCCATTTTTCCTCATTTTGGGAAGTTTGTTGCATGGTTAAGGGGCAAAACGGTATCTTAAGCCTGACAAGACACAGTGCCACTCTCAGTCCAATTAGATCAGGAGTTTCAAACTCAATTTCATTGAGGGCCGCATCAGGGTTGTGTTTGACCTCGGGGGGCCAGGGTGGGCATGGCCAGCTTGACGTCACTCGTGTCAGGACGCCTGTGGTGGCCCGAGCGCTCTGCCAGTGAAAACGGGTTCCCGAGCTCAGTTTTTGGCTGCGACGGCCTCCTATAACCCTCTGCCAGCGAAAATGGAGCTCAGAAGGGCTGCCCACGGCCCTCACGAGCTCTGTTTTCACTGGCAGAGGCACTACGGCCAGTCCTTTGCTGTTTCCAGGGCGGCCCCATGGGCCAGATCTAAGCACCCCACAGGCCGGATCCAGCCCCGGGGCCTTGAGTTTTGACACCCCTGAATTAGATTTATCCTTCTGTATAATATTTATTTATTTTAAAGAGATATTAGAGAGGAAGATGCAATTGTAAAAAGGCAGCAAAAATGGAAAAAAAGAAATGGCTAGAGAAGATGGGAACCTTCTAATTTTTTTTATAAAACAAAACTTGCATAGCCTCTTAAATATTTGAATGCATTATTCAAAAATTTGAATTCAAGAATTTATATTGTCCAAGTGCATTTTTACTCAACAGAAAACTTCATTAAGGGGAAGGAGGGGGACTATTCCCATACAGGACCTACTCTTTTGTCCTTTCAGTCTATAGCATAGAAAGAAATGCCAAACTATTCTTGACTCAGTATAGGAAATATCAACCAACGACAGGGAGACTGGAATGATCAAAGGGGAAAAGAGAGAGACATTGAGCAGAGACCTGTTATTATTGCCGGTATACAGCCACTGGGACAGCTGAAAGGAAGAAGCTGGCATTTTGCCAACTGACAATTTTGGATATTAACAAGAATTAGGATGTAAAAACATCAGAGCAGAACTCCCATGTAAAAGTCTTTGAAATCCTGCCTTTTCCCCAAAGGTTGGTTTAGAATAAAGGAGGGGGGGAGAGAGATTTTACATGTTAATTTTAATGTCTTTTCCTCTGGACGTATATAATTCTTTATCTTTTATCTTGGTTCCTGCTGTCTATAATGTTGCATGCCACCCAGAATCTTTATGGTTCACAAATTTTGATAAATATAACACACTACCTCTTTTTTTTTTTTTTACATTATGCAGACATATTACCTCTTTTATATTATGCAGAGACCATCTCTCAGGTTGTCTGTACCTTCTGAAGGGGTAGGGAAGGGATAAAACCTTATGCTTGGCATTCTGTGGATGCTGCTGGAATCATCATCCTGAGCTTACCGTGCCATGAAATCACTTTGTGACTTCCACACCCCATACCTCTGCCATTCCATACACCATACTACTCTGTCGGCCCTTCCCCTGGCTGCCGAGAAATAGGGGACTGAACCACGTGACAATGCTGAAATATACTTGCTTTCAACGCTTTTAAACTGACAAAACTGATGGGAATGTTTTACCCAAATCAATCGTGCCTAAGATTGCAGAAAGAAAGAGATGCATTTGTTGCTTTTAACCACAGCCAAAAGTCAAGCAAAAGACGCAGTTCTATGACTTCCTATTTAAACTCAGGGAAACTGAATATTCCATTTATTCTTCCAGGTTCTGTTGCATTCTACACAACTCTAGGAAGATAACAGCTCAGCAGTTGCGCTCATACTCTTCAAGCAGAAGGTCACAAATTTCGATTTCCCCAGCATCTTTATTTAAAAGGATTGGTTAGCAGCTGACGGGAAAAGACCTCTGCCTCCAATTTTAGAAAGCCGCTGCCAAGGCTAGATTGACAGTCTGAGCTGATACAAAGTACCTTCCTTTTTAAAAAAAAAATTAAAAAAAACATACAAACCATTGAAATTGACCTTGCTTTAAATTAAATTCTGTATCACATATTGTGCTAATTTATGCACTAAATTACACATCAGTATCCTTTACAAAAGATTTATTGCTGCTGAACTATATAAGACAACTTACCTTATTTTAGACATTGAAAAGATCAATTAATTTTCCTATCTAGTTTTAAATATTAGCCCGATTATCTCTTTAGAAACCATTAAAAAGCATTTCTACAGTTTTTTTGATTACACAGGAATTCCTGACCATAACCTACCAATTAAATGTTTATAAGGCAGCTGATGGCTTCTCAGATTCATGTGTGCAATATGGCCAATTCTGCTAAAGGCTGTGGTGATTTCCTGGCCTTCAGGAAGCACTGCTTTCAGAATTTCTTCTGTCTTGAAATTATCATAAGTAAGTTCCATGTTATACTTGATTATTTCAGGGTTAATACCAAAGCTTTTTAAGATCTGTTGCTCAGATTCACCCAGAGAACCGTCAGCAGATATTTTATGTGGGTCTAACAAAATGTACTTTCTGTTTTCATCGTCAGGGTCTTCAACGACTCTCTTGAGACCTGGTCGCTGGAGCAGTACTCCTTTAAGAGATTTCAGCAGATTGCTTGTTATGTCTTTGTTAACTAAAAGAGCTGGGATGATAATATCATTCTTGAAAGCAGCTTTGTCAAGGGTGGTCATTCCACGTACTCTGGGATGCGGCAAGAATCCATCAAGGTCAGGTTTCTTATCGGCCATCTCCTGCAGGGTGAAGAAACTTTGTCTCTGAATTTTTGGAAGATGTTCAGGCAATCGATTAAAAGACCGGTTCCAAAGCAACCAGAGTGTTGGAAATAATGTTTCTGATCCAAAATACTTCACTTTCAGGAGGCAAGGGAATAAGCTTTTTAATTGCCTTAAAAATCTAAAAGAAAAAGTGTCTATTTTTAGAGGTTACACAGAGAAAAAGTACAAGTTTGCTGTACGGCAGTCATAAACTATTCGTATAAGAAAGTCTAAACCAAACTTTGGGTTATGCAAGATTTGATGTAATAACAAACTTCACAGAAGATTGATTGATCTACAAATCATGCTTACTCATTTTAGTGAGCACTCTTTGGCGCTCTCTCAGCTTGATGGTTTTCTTGTAGACATCATCAGCACTAATGATGCTACCTAGTTTGATACTGAATGAAACATTTGCAAGAAAACCACCAAGCTCAGAGAGCACCAAGGACCCCGCAGTTCTACCCTGAGCTAAAAATAGTCTCTTCTATTCTCTTGAAAGTTCCCTGCTAGCTATAGCTTCCTTTTTTTATCCAAAGTGGCAAATCACAATTACCATGTTCAGAACAAGCCAAACTTCTAAACCAAGTTTGAAGGATGGTTTAAAATCTTGGCTTGTTCTAGATCAGTGAGGGCAAACCTTTTCGGCACCAAGAGCCGAAAAGGGAGCACTTCGCATGCATGCTCATCAGGGCCGCAACCAGGAAGAGGAGCTGCCTAGGGGGCATGCGCACGCCGGATAAGGTAATTCCTGTTTCCAGCGCGGGCACATGCACTCCAGCAAGCAAGTCTTATGATTACTGCTGCACATGTGCATGCGACGATCAGCTGGCCATCAGATGGCCAACTCTTCCGGTTTCCGGCACTGCCGCATGCACAAAGGCCAGCTGATCGTCACGTACGCATGAATGCCAGAAACCAGGAAGAGGAATGGGCGGCGCTGCGTGTGCCAGGCAATATGGCTCCATGTGCCACATTGGGCACGCGTACCATAGGTTCGCCATCATGGTTTTAGACCTTATAGTCATACTTTTGGTAATCCCAAAATTACAATTAAAGGATTTCTGGGTTTATCTATTGCATGCTAAGAGACGGTAAAATAAAATATTCTCTACACCAGGGGTGTCAAAGTCGCGTCATCACAGCATTGTCACGTGACGTATCAGAACTTTTTCCCCCTTCGCTAAACCGGGTGGGGGTGTGGCCAGGGCGTGACACATCTGACCTGTGGGTGAGTTTGTGGCCCTGCTCTACACAAATAAAAAACTTGCACATATTGACTTAATAAACATTTTGCTGTTAAAATAAATGTAATCCTTGTTTAATGTCCATTTGTTCAATGATTGACGTTATGATAGTTATGAATGAACAGACTTAGAATCAGTCCTCTAATTTCTGGTCACTGCAGTACTCCATAGTCACACGAACAAATCTGGGTGAACACAGGCCTACTCACATTTACAACTGACTTTTGGCTACTTGCTGCTACCAGCTACCCCTGCAACCTGGCCCTACCTAACTCCACTGAGCTTGGGCACCTCGCGTACTACTGTACTAGCTGGGGCCTTCTTACATGCCTCCTTTTGCATCAATTCAGTCAGGGCTTCTCTCACACACCAGCCAAGGCTTCTCAGGTGCGCTGGCCGGAGCCTCCATTCATGTGCTAGTCCAACTGTCTGCACCCAACCCAGAGCCCTCTTTCAGGAAAGGACGCCCTGGCTGGGTACAAATGAGAGCCCTGGGTGGGGTGCGAGAGAAGTCCTGGCTGCCTCGGTGCAAAAGAAGGTGGCCTAAAGAAGGCCCCAGACAATACAGTAATGGCATGTGGTGTGGTGGGAGTGCAGTAACAATAGTGGGTCAGCAGGCGACCCAGAGGGCCAAAAAAGGTGAATGGGGGAGGTTGAAACAAAGGTAGTTCCTTAACTTTTTTCAATAAAGGCTTGGACCCTCATCTGGGATTTGCTCAATGATAATAACTGGAACTGCCAATGCTAAGCAAAGTGGTTATTTAATGTTCATCTTAACAATCGCACCACTTAAAGACAAAGTTGCCAATCCCAATTAGGGTCATTAAGTGAGGATTACCTGTATACATGTCAGACTGGATCAGTTTCACATAGTCAAAACAGAATACATTTAAATATACATATATAATCAAATAATAATAAATGTGCAAATGAAGAACCAAAAGCAGATCAGAACGTTGCAGATTTCTCATCTCGTTCTTAGCATAGTCCAGTTGTCTTGCATAAAAAAGACAATGAAAACCTCAATAACCATGTTTCATGATCACATACCAACTTAAATGATTTGAGTTCTCAAAACACGGCTAAGCTTGAAATCAGACAAACTATATCTTATCTATAGCTTAAGACACTATAAAGTGCAGGTAGTCCTCGACTAACAACTATTTGTTTAGTGACCGAAGTTACAATGGCACAGAAAAAAATGACTTATGGTTGTTTTTCACACTTATGACCATTGCAGCATCCCCATGATCATGTGATCAAAATTCAGATGCTCATATTTAGTTCCTATTTATGATGGTTCCAGTATCCCACGGTCACATGATCATCTATTGCAACTTTCTGACAAACAAAGTTACGGATTCACTTAACAACTGTGTTGCTAACATAACAATTGCAGTGATTCATTTAACAACTGTGGCAAAAAAGGTCGTAACATGGGGCAAAACTCAAAACTGTCTCGCCTAGCAATGGAAACTTTGTCCTCAATTGTGGCCATAAGATGAGGACTACCTGTACTATGTCAGTTCTTCCCAGTCCAGCCTGCTTCTATCTTGGTAAATTTTTAAATATTCCTCTTAAATCATTTTGACATCACATTTATACATTACTTTGTGTGAATGTGTCTATGTGTGCTCTTGAATCTGTCTTAACTCCTGGCGATTCTCTGGGCAAATCCATGTAGTTTTCTTAGCAAAATTAAACTTTGGGATTCACTACCATGAGATGTGGTGCCAGCTACCACTTTGGCTGGCTTCAATTGGTCCAAAAAGTTGGACCAATTTATGGACATCATAGAATCAAAGATGATGCATTTTAGCATTTTACCACATTGAAATTAATTTTTCATTCACTGTATTGTTGCTAGCCACTGTCTTTTTAAATTTTTTATTTACTTTCATTTATTTATCACATTTTTATGCCACCCGTCTCCCTCATAAGGTGACTCTGGGCGGCTTAATGAAATACCAAGAGCATAACAATGTTACTAGGACAATCTTGTCATTTATCTAAAGTCGAAGGTTGTGTAGTTTTTTCCTACGATTGGAGATTTTTCGCAAGGTTGACAAGGTTACCTGCTGAGGGTGCTTTTGCAAGGAGCCTTCTACAATCTGGTACCCCCCCGCATTTATAAACCAGAATTCTGTTTTAACCACCGATTTCTCCCATCAGGCAGGGTTTAGTTTCAACGCTCCCTCCAAATTTAATCCCTTTGGACGGTCTCTTGTAGCACTTGCAACGTGCATCTTCTATCTGCCTTACTTTCGGAGAAAAGCGAGTCTCCAAAGAGGGAAAGGGACGGTCTGCAGAGGAGAGAGCTCGACGTGGGTTCCTCGTATTCAAGACCCCCAATCCCCCCTCTCGTGCGCCCTATGGAAACGAGGGCAGAGAAAGAGGCCCTTCCCGCGTCTCCTTGCCTCACCTCATGCCGGCCTGGCGCCGCGTTCCCTTCGCTCCTTCCCCCAAAGAGCAGCCCGGCCTTCCCGGCCTCATCATCACCAGTCGCCGCGGCGAAGGGCGGAAAGGGGCGGTGCGGCCCGGGCCTTCCCGCCCTCAGACTGGCTCTGGGTAGGGCCGAGCGCCGCCTCCTCCACCACCTCGGCCGGCGGACTGAGAAGGCGGCGGTGGCTGGAGGTTATTGCAGCCTTTGCTCGCCCGGCGCACCATGGAGCAGCCGCGAATTTCCTCAGTCAATTCCGAGCCGGGGTGGTATTTGTCGGCTCAGGACCTGGAAGAGGGAGCCCCGCTCCTCTCGCCCCCGGACACGGTGCGTGTCGTGCTTGGGGGCTCTCGGGGTGCGGGGACGCGCGGCTTTCTCAGGCAGCCTTGCGGGCTTTCCCTTTCTCCCTCTCTCTCTCGCTGTCTGAACCGCGCTTGAACCCAGTTTCTGAATTAACTCATTTTGTGGGTTCGCTTAATACACCGAGCCACGGGCTATCCCGGTGTTTGCAACCTTTGCTGTTCTAAGATGTGCGGACCCCAACTTTAAAAGTCCCAGCAAGGGGAATTTTGGGAGGTCCCCGCCTCTTAAGGCGAACCAAATCGGCTGGGTGTGCAGTGCACAACGATGCTGAACCGGTGGAAACAAGGGTTAAGTCTTACCAAGCTTCATATCTAGAAACGTACAGACACAGTTTAAGCCTGAACTCGAAGGTGAAAAACATCTAGGGTGAGTCAGGGTGAAGAAGTCACATGGTATGATTGCCATCAATATGTGACCTTGTTAGGATGTGAATTCACACTGCCTCAATTGCCCCGAAGTCTTCACAATAGCATCCCTTTTCAAATGTGTGGCGACTACAGTTCTAGTGGCCTCCCCAATGGAAAACGTTTAATCTAGGCAATGAGAGCCCAGTTGGTGTAATGGATGAGGCACCAGATTAATCATTCAGGTCACACTTTAACAGTAACAGAGTTGGAAGGGACCTTGGAGGTCATCTAGTTCAACCCCCTGCTCACGCAGGTGACCTGTACTAGGGATTTGAATCACTGAACTGCTGACCTTTCTGATTGACAAGCTCAGTGTCTTAGCCACTGAGCCATCTAGCCAGGCAGATTGAGTTCTAATCCTGTTTAGGCATGAAGACAGTGTTAGCTTGTTCTCTCTTGGCCCTAGGAAGAAGGAGGCAGTGGCAAATCACTTCTGAAAACATTAAGCAAAAGTACATGATTTTTCCAAGCAGTTGCCAGAGGTCAAGACCAATTTAAAGACAATTTTTTAAAAAAATGAGGCACTGGAAAATTTACAATCTTATAGGGGAAAAAATAGCATCCACTGTTGCCACCAAACTTACATTTCACAGCATCTTAAAGCCTCACTGGAAGTGCCCTATTACCACAGAAGCAAATAATGCAACAGAGATCCTCCCCACTTTATAATTTTCCAACCTGCCCAGATGGGGTATTCCACATGGTTATGTCCCCTAGAACTTTCCAACCCTGTGCAATCTATAGAATGGGTAGATATTCTTGTATGCCCATAGTGCTAATAGACGTATCTTTTGCAACAAAGATTTGCTCCGTGAATATCCCAAATGCATCTTCATAAAGCCACATAACACAAATGCATCCATGTATGCATATTATGCTACCGGTACATGCATGTAGCAGACATGCTATATGCTATGTTACAATTGTTTTTCATAGACTTTTTAGAATTATTTCATTCAAAACCTATCTATTTTGAATCCTTAGGGTATGTTTAATATAAATGCATATTTTAAATCAGCTCCCATTAGAGCAACTGTAGCAAAAATATTTGTATGTCAAACACATGATTTAAGATTACTGAGAATCTGTTAATTAATTGATTTCTTTCATACTTTTATTTCATACTTGGTTTGACCTTGAAAAACTATTTAACCTAGATTAAGAGATCTGAATGGAACAATGCATTTGGTTCTAACATTTGCAGGTATCACTGAATCGTGTATCAACTGGCACCTCCTTTGGCTTTTCTGTATTTAATTTAATGAATGCTATCATGGGAAGTGGGATTCTTGGTTTGGCATATGTCATGTCCAAGACAGGAATCATTGGATTCAGGTATGTTTTTATTATCAGTTCTGTTTTTGAGTATTTTAAAAACGTTATCGTGCTCTATATTTACTTTTACATTTAAGAGTAGGGATTTTTTAAAATTTAAGTAAAACTGATTATTTTAAGAATAAAAATAACTAAAACTGAAAAAGCAGGTTGAGAGAATGTTACATTCCAGATCCCTCTTCTAGTCTCTAGTGGTATACTATTGTACTTGAAATTATGATTTCAAGTACAAAAATCAGGCATTTAATTTTAATAAATCTCATTTTTGATGTCTCTACAAAATCAAAAGAAAATAGTGCGAAGAAAGGTACATTGTGATGCTTTGCATGAGGTTCAGTCCTCAACATCTCCAGTCAAAGTTGGGAAAGAGTTGTCTAACTCCAAAGAGCTTATCATTGCAGACAATACTGAGCAAGATATTCTGATATAAAGTTGTTTTCTATTTATCTATGTATAATAGAATGGAAAATAATTAAATCAATGCAATGAAATCTCTTACAGTTGTCTTACAGAGAGGGCCTCCTCGGGGTGCCATCAGCTAAACAATGTTGGCTGGTGACCCCCAGGGGGAGGGCCTTCTCTGTGGGGGCACCTACCCTCTGGAATCAGCTGCCCCCAGAGATAAGGAGAATCCAAGACCTCGGTGCCTTCCGCCGTGCCCTTAAAACGTTCTTTTTCCAGCAAGCCGGGCTGGCCTAACACTTTTTAAAATGTTTTTAATTGTCTGTTATTGTTTTTAATCATGGGGCCAAATTTATATATATCTTTTTAATTGTATTTTAATGTTTGTAGTTTATGTTTTTACTTGGCTGTTCACCGCCCTGAGTCCTCAGGGAGAAGGGCGGTATACAAATTTAAAATAAATAAATAAATAAATAAATAAATTGGTGTAGGGATTTATTTTATCAGAAGTCCTATATTCTGCAACTGTAGTATAGAAATCAGTTTTATATTCACATTGTTGAAATATGGTTTATTGAATGAACCAATTCAGCCTTGCAGATATATCAAATAATCATAACTTTTCCCCTACAGTGATAGCAAATCAATCAGATTATATTTTAGTGTAATGAATAAATCCAGTTCAGTCTGATTTGGCAGTGCTAGTCCAAGTACTCTGGGTACTCCAAGTACTCCGCCCTGGGTCTTTGGAGAGGGGCGGCATATAAATTGAATAAATAAAAATAAATACTCTTCTATGTGACTGAAGGAGGCCATCATCATTTTAATTAGAAATGCAAAACGTTGTATCTGGGGCCTTCTTAATGTAGAAAAGTCCTTCTTCATATTCTATTCACTAAAACATTCAAAGTTAAAGTTCTGTAATTACCTATGTAAAAATCAGGTTTTGGCATATCAGTTTTCAGTTATGTGTCCAAATTGCACAAATATTTGTTTTGATGGATGCATATTGAAAACACTTTTTTGGGGGGTCTTGGGAATTATGATTTACTTTGCCGCTCAAGGTTTATACAGCTAGAGCCAGATACTGTGATGATTAGTGAGCAAACATATAGCTGATATTTATTGTTCCTCTGCTCATTGGTATCTGCTCATCACAAAGATAAAATACAATCATTTAGAATACTTTAAATGTTATCAAAGTGTATGTTGTAACAACATACACTTTGTCATTTGTCATTTTTGCTAGATTTGAATGAGTCATAAAAGTTGCTAAATATCAGAAAAAGCAGAACATGGAAAAAGGAATTAGCAGTCATGTGCATTATATTCTATCTTTTAAGATACAAAACGAGGAAATATGTCTTATGATTTTTTTTTTTGTTCTTGGTTGTTTGGGGGGAAATGTAGCTTTTCAACTCTCTATTTTAGTGGGAAACAATGATTGATGACATTGACATTCATTATTTTTCTTTTTGTTCTAGTATGCTGATGTTAATTGTTGCTACCCTTGCATCTTATTCTATATTTCTGTTGCTTACTATGTGCATTTACACTGGTAAGTAAAAATGCTATATAATTTCAAGGAGCTTAGTATAAATCTTTAGTGTTTGTATAAAGCATAAGTTTTTAGTGGAGGCAAAATAGAAATATATTCAGATTTTACAATCTACATTTCACTAGTCACATCCTTAGAATAGTCTATGCAATACAGGCAAATAATTTATAACCTTATAACATTACTACGAGGGTCAGTAGCCTCTTTAGATGGTGACACTGTTGCAAAAACCTGGCTACCGATATATGTGTATTCATATGTACATACATATATACATGCATATACATACACCCACACACACCCACAAGGCAAATTACATCATTATTGTTGCCAAGAAAACTGTATGGATATATCTCTGTAATTGATGATGATGATGATGTTATCCATTCATCCACATAGTTTGCCTGAATTGTTGTTTACCAAGACTATAAATTATTAATGTTGATTATATATCTGATGAAAAATACTTTATCTTTATAAATCAAGATACACTTTTTGTTTTAAGTCTATTTCTGAAATATTTTCAAGAACAAGTTCTGAATTTTGTTCTTATTTAATATATTCATTCAGTGAGGTGATAGGATTATGTATGTGCTTCAGAACTGTTTTAACATGGAGGGTCCTTAAAATAGGATTTGCTGCATTTTGACAATGCACTTATCACATCTTTTCTTTAAAATTTAATTAGAAACTATATTTTCTGCTCTGGGTTAGAAAGGAGCTAAACATGCTTGCTAGATGTCATGTACATTGCAAAAAAAAACAATCTCTGTCTTGGACAAATTTTTACCTGAATTTCAGAAGTTTATAGCTATACAAGTAGAGCTATGTTGAAAAAAAATGAAATATGAAGAAAAGACATAGAGGGGCATGTCTTTTGTGTAAGTGTGAATGCGAAGTTAGTAGTATGAAGTCCAGAAAACTTAGGTCCTTTTTTTAAAAAAGTGAATCTTTCCTTTTATCTGAGACAGTTGATAATTCTTTTCCAATATTGTCTTCATAAGGGGATGTGGTGGCTCAGTGGCTAAGACGCTGAGCTTGTTGATCGAAAGGTTGATAGTTCAGCGGTTCGAATCCCAAGTAGCTCCTGTTACATGTCCCAGCTTCTGCCAACTAGCAGTTCAAAAGCATGTA